GCCTGCTGAAGTTAGTCCTTTCACTACATGACAGGCCTGAACTACCTGACTGGTAATGAACCTTCTGTCTCCCCTTTACACCATCAACTGCTAAACACCAGCTGGTGTTTCTAAAGAGAAAGTTTTTTGTAGTGCTGGTATCATTAAACCCACCAGCTTAGTATAGTTTCCAAGACGGGTGTTTGTGGCTTATTAGTACTTCTTAGTATCTGTGGAAGTTGTATTTTCCTGACTGATTCCACAAGTAATTAAATTGCCAGTTATGAACAATGCAGTCCCTAAAAGGATCGAGAGCATTTTTTGCCTTAACAATTAAGTGACAAGAAATGATCATGTAACTGAAAAGCACACCAAGGCTGGTGCTGTCCCCATCCTTTTAGGGCACCCTCAAACCTAGCTGTTTCTCAACACACACATCCTGGCTACTTAACCACATATATTCTAAATTGTTCTTTATATATGTAAAAAAGGGAGACGGCTGTGTTCAATTCCTAGTTGCAAACAAAAGGTCACTAAGCTACAGGCAGTGACCTTCAATATTTTGACATAATCATTTCCACTGCATGTGCGGGGGATCAAGATTTCAAAACCTGGCTAAAGTACTCCAACATCATGATGAATCTGGTGTGGCTTTACCACCTCCTAATCATCACATTGGCTTCTTTAGTCTCAGGTGTATGAAATAAGCAGTATCTGCTCTTCCGGTGAACTTCATCACAATTTGCATTTTCAGGAAATTACAAACCTCTAAACTTCCTTTAAAAAAGGGAAAGGGCCTCAAAAAAAGAAAGAATAAAATAAAAGAAACATGAGTTCTTAGACTTTCTTGCAGGCAAGAAGTAGGTGAGAATATATCTGAAGAAAGATAACAAGACTTTCTGCTTTCCCTGCAGCACATTCCCTGTGGAAAGAGATTTCCTTCGTGCCAGTCTAAAAGCCTCCACAAGAATGTCAATAAATATCAGTTTATTAGTGACATTCAATTAAGATTATGGTTTGTCTCATTCTCACATGAAGCTGTGAGCTTGCTTCCTGGAAAAGAGTCAGTAGGTTGTGAAGCAGATGACTAATTAAAGGATTTAAACACAATGTATTAAAATAGTTTATTAACACCAAGACAAGAAACGCAAAAATAATCAGCTTTTAGAGAAACAAAAGCACAATAAAGTCATCAATCTTGCCTGTTTTGCAGAAGTTATCACTGTAACTGAAGCTGTGTACAGTCTGGTAAGTCTTTCACAGAAGAATCACCTTGAACTCCCACTGAGTTCTACGACCCTAATGTTTAACATCCTGCATCAAACTCCTGCATGCTTCTATCCCAAAACCTTTCCTTTAGGCAGATGGATATTATCCAAATGTACTCTCTTACTTTCTCAGACTACACAGCAGCGCAGATATTCATCACCAACCTTGGCAATTCAGGTCTACTAATTCAACTGTACTTAGGAAAAGAGAACTCTCTCTCTACCCAGTCTTTTCTTGTTCAGTTTCTATTGACAGCAAGAAGTCTCAGATCTTCCAAGTGTGAAAATGTTCATTAACATAGGAAAAAAAGTGAGCATCTTGGGTGGTGAATTATTTCTTTTTCTTTTTTTTCTTTTCATCTGCTGCCATTTTTAACTTGACTTCTTCTGCAGGAATTGCTCCTAATTTCTTTTTCTTTGCATTCTTTACCTTCTCCTTGATGGCTTCAATATCAATTTTCTTCTCAGTGGAGGCTACACAGTAAAAAATGCAGAGACAACAAAAACAAATTTTACTTTTTCTAAATTGTAGAAGTATACAAGATGACTTCATACATAAGCAGAGTAAACTGCATCCTGTGGTATTAGTTAGGACTAACTTTATGTTTGTTACTGATTTTATAAACTATTATAATAATAATTTTTATTGAAACTAGTATTACCCACAAACCTCTTTCAGCAGAATTCAGAAAACAGTAATATAAAAGCCCCTATAGAGCTGGATTTGAACACAGATGCCACACTCTGCACGCATACAAACTATTATCAACCATTCCTCAGACCACAGATGCACTCCT